AGAGTGTTCTTTCCATTTAGGTTGGTAAATTGTTGGTATTCACTGGTTCTGAATCTACGTATGTGCTTATAAACTTTGTGTATTGGGGGTGGGCATTGTAGGATGTTCAACTCTCAATTCTTTGGGCTGATTTATATTTTATGACTGATGTATTATGATAGATGAGAAAATGAAGCATAAATCCCTTTCATTAGTTTTTGTTTTTTTAAGGGAGAGGAGGTAGAAGTAAGTATAAAGTACATTTTGATAAAAATTAGAATTGGATACTCTTCATGAGTTTTTTATTATTATTAATTAGAGGCCCAGTGCACGAATTTGTGCATGGGTGGGGTCCTTCTGGGTGGCCTACAGGGATTGGGCCGAAACTTGCAGTCCAATGCCACCTGCAGCTCCTACCTGCCCCTCCCGCTCATCCTGGACCCACTGTGCCTGCTGCAGCTCGCGCCCAATCAGTCCCGATTGGGAGAGGCAGCAGCGCTTGCCAGCCATGAGCCCTGCATCTGGCACCCTCCCAAGGGGAGTGGCCTGTGGGATGGGGCTGAAACTGGCTCCCCAAAATAGCCCTGAGCGGTCCAGGATTGCGAGAGGGCACAGGCCAGGCTAAGGGACCCCACCGGTGCACAATCAAGGCCAGGGAGGGACTGTAGGAAGGCCCCAGGGCATGTCCAAGGCATGTCCAGGGCTTGCTCAGTCCCTATTGGCCGGACCCCAGCAGCAAGCTAACCTACTAGTCAGAGCATCTGCCCCCTGGTGGTCAGTGCACGTCATAGTGACTGGTCGACGGGTCTACTCTCTGCCCCTGGTGGTCAGTGCATGTCATAGTGAGCAGTTGAGCAGCCTTAGCATATCATTAGCATAGTACGCTTTGATTGGTTGTTCTGATGTTCTGCTGTTCGGTCTATTTGAATATTACCCTTTTATTATATAGGATAACTAACTCTTTTACCATTAAAACAGGTATAAAAAGAAACAATCTTACCTTAGTGGTGTTGCCACATTTATTTGGTTTGGCACAAAGATATGAGACTGATTTTTAGCTGCCTTTTAATGTATGAGTAGTTTCTGTGTTCAGTTTTTAAACATTAGGACAATAAAAAAATAAAATAGACTGATGAAAGAATATTGACATTTGAATTCTTGTTTAAAAATGTGATGTCTTCTTTGAAAGGGCAAGAAGCCAAAAGCGATACAGTTAATTGCACATTGTCTCAAGAATAGTTCTGATTTTAAACAGGAATTTTTCCCTGATGTCTATATCTAGGATCAATGAGAAAAGGACCATTCTGCCTCTTCTTTTTTTTCAGTTGGGTGGCAGTGCAAGCAATTTGTTTTGTGTGGTGTCTGAATTCATAATGAATAAAAAATCATTTAATTTTTAATCATGTACATTTTATATGAAAAATAAAAATGCATGTTCATAAATGAAAATATAAAGGTTAAAATTGATATCTCATATTTTCCTATGGTTAAATATATTTTCTTGTACTTTATTCTATGATTGTTAATATTATTATTTTTTGACATATAGGGTGTATTTATGTACATTTCTAATAGACATGAATTTGGAAGACTATTATCAACTGCAAATTACAATACTTCCCATTATAACAATGACCTCTGGCAGATTTTTGAAAATCCTGTGGTATGTATTTCACACTCAACTTTATTTATTACTTGTTTTCCTGTAACTCTAAATGGGTTAAAATAAATTGGGTTAATAATATGAAAATGTGGTAAGAGGCTTTAAATTTTTTTTTAAATCATATCAATTTTAAAAAGATGTAATTAATTATATTTTATGTTCTATAGAGTAGATCTAAACCTGCCTAAGAACTTTTTTTATAAAAATATATATTAGGTTTGGGGAAGGAAATTTATTTCTCCAAGTATTTCTACTTATATATTGAAAAGCACATCAAATTTTTAACCACAACTTGAGAAAAAAAATGGTTACAAGTAGCTCACATCTGATATTACATTTTGATTTTTAGGAAGAAAAATCAAGCATTAGTTTGAGAAAATAAATTTCATTTTATAATTTTTATTTTTTAACATTTTGTGTAAATTTTTTAAAATTCTTTATTGTTGAAAGTATTGTATACATGTGTCTCCTTTATCTCCCATTGACCTCTCCCCATGTGCTCCCTCCCACAAGCACAGGCCCTCATCCCCTTACTGTCTGTGTCCATTGGTTATGCTTATATGCATACATACAAATCCTTTGATTGATCTATCATCCCCACTCCTATGCTCTCACCTTCCTGCTGCAGTTTGATGGATTGTTCAATGCTTCTATGTCTCTGGATCTACTTTTGTTCATCAGTTTAGGTTGTTCATTATATTCCACAAATGAGTGAGATCATGTGATATTTACCTTTGTCCAACTGGCTTATTTCACTTAGCATAATGCTCTCTAGGTCCATCCATGCTGTTGCAAATGGTAAGAATTCCTTCTTTTTTACCACAACATAGTATTCCATTGTGTAGATGTACCACATTTTTTAATTCATTCATCTGCTGATTGACACTTAGGCTGATTCCAAATCTTAGCTATTGTAAACTGTGCTCCTATGAACATAGGGATGCATATATTCTTTCTGATTGGTGTTTCTGATTTTTTGGTGTATATTCCTAGAAGTGGAATTGCTGGGTCAAATGGGAGTTCCATTTTTAATTTCTTGAGGAAACTCTGTACTGTTTTCCACAATGGCTGCACCAGTCTGCATGCCCACCAGCAGTGTACTAGGGTTCATTTTTCTCCACATCCTCGCCATCACTTGTAATGTCTTTTTTTTTTTAATTCTTTATAGTTTAAAGTATTACAAATGTCTCCTTTTCCCCCCATTGACCTCTCCCCAGCTATTCCCAACACCCAGCACATGTCCTCACCCCCCTACTGTCTGTGTCCATGGGTTATACTTATATGCATGCATACAAGTCCTTTGGTTGCTCTCTTATCCCCCCATCCCCTGCCTTCTCTCTGAGGTTGGACAGTCTGTTTCATGCTTCTATGTCTCTGGATCTATTTTTGTTCATCAGTTTAGGTTGTTCATTATATTCTACAAATGAGTAAGATCATATGATATTTATCATTCTCTGACTGGCTTATTTCACTTAGCATAATGCTCTCCAGGTCCATCCATGCAGTTGCATTCCCACCAGCAGTGCACGAGGGTTCCTTTTTCTCCGCATCCTCACCAGCACTTGTCATTTGTTAATTTGTTGATGACAGCCAATAAAGAGTGTACTTCATTGTTATTTTGATTTTCATCTCTCAGATGATTAGTGACTTTAAGCATGTTTTCATATGTCTCTTGGACTAGTGTATGTCTTCTTTTGAAAAGTGTCTATTTAGGTCCTTCGCCCATTTTTTGATTGGATTGTTTATCTTCCTTTTGTAGGAGTTCCCTGTAAATTTTGGAGATTAAACCCTTATCAGAGATAACATTGTCAAATATGTTGTCCCATGCAGTGGGCTTTCTTGTTGTTTTGTTGATGATTTCTTTTGCTGTACAGAAGCTTTTTATTTTGATGTAGTCCATTTGTTTATTTTCTCCTTAGTTTCCATTGTTCTAGGAGCTGTATCAGTAAAGATATTGCTATGAGAGATGTCTGCTATTTTGCTGCCTATGGATTCTTCTAAGAATTTTATGGTTTCCCATCTTAGGTTGAAGTCCTTTATCCATTTTGAGTTTATTTTTGTGAATGGTGTAAGTTGGTGGTCTAGGTTCATTTTTTTGCATGTATCTGCCCAATTTTCCCAACACAATTTATTGAAGAGACTTTGACTCCATTGTATGCTCTTGCCTACTTCGTCAAATATTAATTGAGCATAATGGCTTGGGTCAATTCCTGGATTCTCTGTTCTGTTCCATTGGTCTATATGTCTGTTTTTGTGCCAGTACCAGGCAGTTTTGAGAACAGTGACTTTATAATATAACTTGATATCTGGTATTGTGATCCCTCCAACTTTATTCTTCTTTCTTAGGATGGCTGAGGCTATTCGGGGTCTTTTTTTATTCTTTATACATTTTTGGAGAGTTTGTTCTAGGTCTGTGAAATTTGCTGTTGGTATTTTAATGGGGATTGCATTGAATCTATAGATTGCTTTGGGTAGTATGGACATTTTAATGATGTTGATTCTACCAATCCATGAACACAGTATATTCTTCCACTTGTTAATATCTTCCTCTATCTCTTTTTTCAACATCCTGTAGTTTTCTGAGTACAGGTCTTTTTCTTCCTTAGATAGGTTTATTTCCCTGGTATCTTAATTTTTTTGTTGCAATTTTTTTGGTCAATGGGATTTTGTTTTTAGTTTCTCTTTCTGTGAGTTCTTTATTGGTGTATGAAAATGCCATAGATTTCTGTGAGTTAATTTTGTATGCTGCTATATTGCCAAATTCAGTTATTAAATCTGGTAGTTTTTTTGATGGAGTATTTATGGTTTTCTATGTACAATATCATGTGATCTGTGAATAATGACAGTTTTATTTCTTCTTTTTCCAACTTAGTTACCATTTATTTCTTATTATTATCTGATCACTATGGCTAGCACTTCCAATACTATGTCAAACAGGATTGGTGTCTTGTTCCTGTTCTTAGGGGAAATGGTTTTAGTTTTTGCCCATTGAGTAATCATACTGTAGGTTTGTGATATAAGGCTTTTATTATGTTGAGGTATGATCCCTCTATTCCTACTTTGCTGAGAGTTTTTATCACAAAAGAGTGTTGGATTTTCTCAAATGCTTTTTCTGCCTCAATTGATATGATTATGTGGCTTTTGTCTTTCAATTTGTTTATGTGATGTATCACATTTATTGATTTGTAGACAATGTACCAGCCTTGCATCCCTGGAATAAATCCCACTTAGTCCTGGTATATGATCTTTTTAATGTTTTGCTAGAATATTGTTGAGAATTTTAGCATCTGTGTTCATCAGGGATATTGGCCTGTAATTCTCTTTCTTTTTAGTGTCTTTATCTGGTTTTGTAATTAGGGTAATACTAGCTTCATAGAAAGAGCTTGGAATTGTGCCTTTTTCTTGAATTTTTTGAAATAGTTTAAGGAGGATAGGTATTAATTCTTCTTTGAAAGTTTGGTAAAACCGCCCCCATGAAGTTGTCTGGACCAAGGCTTTTGTTTGCTGGAAGTTTTTTTATTACTCAATTTCATCAGTTGTTATCAGCCTATTCAGGTTTTCTTGTTCTTCCTAATTGAGTTTTGGAGGATTATATTTTTCTAGGAATTTGTCCATTTCGTCCAGTTTGTTGGAAAAAAGTTGTTTGCAGTATTTTTTAGAATCCTTTGTTGGATCAGATGTTACTTCAGCTCTTTCATTTCTGATTTCGTTTATTTGGGTCCTTTCTCTTTGTTTCTTGGTAAACCTGGCTAGAGATTGATTAATCTTGTTTATCCTTTCAAAGCACTGGCTCTTGTTTCTGTTGATCTTTTAATATTGTTTTTTTTTTTTTGGTCTGTATGTCATTTATTGCCACTCTGATCTTTATTATTTTCTTCCTTCTACTTACTCTGGGCTTTTCTTGTTGCTCTCTTTCTAGTTATTTAAATTGTAAGATTAGATAACTTATTGCCAGTTTTTCTTGTTTTTTTTGTTTGTTTGTGTTTTTTGTTTTTTTGTTTGTGTTTTTTTGTTTTTTGTTTGTTTATTTGTTTAGGTAGTGCTATGAACTTCCCTTTCAGGACTGCTTTCACTGTGTCCCATTGATTTTGGATTGCTGTGTTTTCATTTTCATTTGTTTTTTGAAAGTTTTCCATTTCTTCTTTGATCTCTTTGGTAACCCATTCATTGTTTAATAGCATGCTATTTAGCCTCCATGTGTTTGATTGTTTTTATTGTAGTTCATATCTAATTTTATGCCATTCTAATGTGAGACGATGCTTGATGTGATTTCAATCTTCTTGAATTTGTAGAAACTTAGCCTGTGTCCTAATATGTGGTCTTCTTTGAAAATGTTCCATGTGCACTTGATAAGGATGTATATTCCATAGCTTTGGGGTGAAATGTTCTGAAGTTGTCAATTAATTCCATCTGATCTAGTGAGTCATTGCTGTTTCTTTGCTGATTTTTTGTCTAGAGGATTTGTCCAGTGATGTCAATGGGGTATTAAAATCCCCTACTATGATTGTATCGCTGTAGATCTCTGCCTTGATATCTTGCAGAAGTTTTTTTTTTTTAATGTATTTTGGTACTCCTGTGTTGTGCGCATATATATTTACCAGAGTTATATACTCTTGTTGTATTGATCCCTTTAGTAGTATGAAGTGGCTTTCCTTATCTCTTGTTATGGCCTGCACTTTGAGGTCTATTTTGTCAGATACAAATATTGCTACCCCAGCTTCTTTTTTCATTTCCATTTGCCTGAAAAAAAAAATTCCATCCTTTCACTTTCAGTCTGTGTGAGTCCTTTGTTCAGAGGTGGATCTTTTGTAGACAGCAAATATATGTGTCATGTTTTCTTATCCATTCAGCTACCCTATATCTTTTGATTGGAGCATTTAACCCATTTACATTTAAGGTTATTATTGATAGGTACTGTTTGTTGCCATTTTTATTCCTTATGCCTGTGTTCCTTCTTCCCTTTCTATTTCTTCTTTTTATAGTAGTCCCTTTAGCATCTT